GCAGTGCAGTGTCAGACACAGTGCACTCAATGGAGTGAGTGACGTCACAGTGACGGGTAGGGTTAGGGGCGGGGTTAGGAGAGCCCATTCAAAAGCATCAGATTGCACTGCACCGAGTCTGCAGCCAGACCCCTTCTCAAACACACAAACACACACTCAACATTGAGTGGTGATGTCAGGGTCAAAGGTCATCAGAGGTCACTCACTTGGCGAATCCGATGAAGTCTTCGTGGTTTGTGTTGATGTAGGAGAGCTCGATGTCGATCAGCAGCATCACCTGACACACACACATACACAAACATGCACACACACACACACACACACACACACACACACACACACGCACTGATGATCATCTGAGGGACTTTGAGGAACTGTGCTCAAATATCCCTGAATCACCTTCACAGTCGTGCTGAACAACCATTAGATCATTCATTCATTCATTCATTTTCCTTCAGCTTAGTTCCTTTATTTATTAGAGGTCGCCACAGCCGAATGAACCGCCAACTATTCCAGCATAGCATAGCACATCCGCCTCGCAGTAAGAAGGTTTCAGATTCAAGTCCCGGCTGGGTCAGTTGGTGTTTCTGTGTGGAGTTTGCATGTTCTCCCCGTGTTGGTGTGGGTTTCCTCCGGGTATATACAAGAATTGGATAAGCTAAATTGGCCGTAGTGTATGAGTGTGTATGGATGTTTCCCAGTGATGGTAAGGGCATCCGCTGTGTAAAACGTGCTGGATAAGTTGGCCGTTCATTCCGCTGTGGCGACCTCGGATTAATACAGGGACTAAGCCGACAAGAAAATGAATGAATGAATTATATTATATTATATTATATTATATTATGCTATATTATATTATGCTATATTATATTATTTTATGCTATATTATATTATATTATTATATTATGCTATATTATATTATTATATTATGCTATATTATATTATATTATATGCTATATTATATTATATTACATTATATTATATTATGCTATATTATATTATGCTATATTATATTATATTATTACATTATATTATACTATATTATATTATATTATACTACATTATATTATATTATATTATGCTATGTTATATTATATTACACTATATTATATTATATTACATTATATTATATTATTATATTATATTATGCTATATTATATTATATTATATTATATTATATTATATTATATTATATTATATTATATTATATTATATTATATTATATTATGCTATACGGGTTCTGAGTAGGTTAAAATA